ACAGTTCTAGGGGTTCACTGTAGCCATTGGTCAGTGGGACTGACCGGTAACCGAATTCTATATCACATATTATAATTCAAATGTTGATACAAATGACAACATACTTATTTATAAAGTTTTGGCATGGATCAAGTAATGGGCATAACAAAAGATATCCTCTTAGAATAGAAAGACCTTTACATAACTATACTAAAGGACCTTTTCCTGCAGTGAACTAAAAGGACTGTTATTTTATAATATATCTGTGATATCAGAATTACCAATTTGGACGGTCAAGGATGTTTTGGAAGTATCTTTCATAATCAGAATTACAAGATCTATGCTCAAACTTGTATTTGAAATCCCAATAAAATCCTTAAATATACATGTGCTTAAGAAAATTTAAAATATTTTTCTAAAAACTAGAACAATTTACAACATTTTTTTTACACAAAATTGAAAAATAAAATTTTAACCCAATTTTTTGGCAACTTGGCTATTGCAAAATAAATGCTATTCATATAATCCATTCATATCAGCCCAGACAATCTTCTGATCAGAAACTTACCTGGTCTGATGCTCTTGACTGGGAAAGAAGCCTGACCGAGGAAGTTAGGGTCCCCAAACATGTCTTCATCCTGGACCACAAACCTTATCATGGCCACCTCGGGGTTGATGATGTCAAACTCACACTGGTCATTCCACACTGGGTTGAAACCATTGTCCACTAAAGAGAAGATACATGGTCAATGTTATATCTAACATAGCATTTCTTCATTACCAGTTGTTCTTAATATAATCAACAAGACAAGTGATTCACTGGTCCTGGACCAAAATTCTATGTAAAACTCATACAAGTCATTCTACATTGACTTGAAACCACTGTCCACTCATTAGTTACATATATACTAGTACAAACATACATGTACACATACAATGTAGTTTATTTAGAGGACAAGTCATACTGGTATGACATGATCACAGTGCTGAACAAACAAGATTTGCCAAAATCATAGTACCAATTGACAGAAGAATCATTTAAAATTTTGGTTTTTAAAATGACACCTTTAATTCAGAGTATTTTTAAATAAGTTGTATGAAATGAAACTTCAGTGTACCTGCAGTTGTAGGTACACTGAACTTTCATTTCATACAACTTATTTTCTTACCCTTTGTTCTAGTTTTGTATTTGTTTCCATTGTCAAATTCCGCTCCACATATTTCTACTTCTACAAATGGGCTGGCAATCCCACGGCCAGATTTGACTAAGTGGCGGGCTCCTATGATCTGAAAATTTAGTACATAAATTAGTAAATAAATCACAAAATATTAAAAATGTGTATCTTAAAGCTGGTTTCCACAGAGAGTTACTTTACAAAATTATTATTACAGTGCTTCAAGACAGATACAGGGTTCATTAAGACCAGTAATCTCAAGTAAAGTGATCTCTTTTCCTCTTATGTTTTAAACTCCAATGTTACCCAAAACTTTAAAAACTGAAACAAACCCACTACTCCAATGTTACCCAAAACTTTAAAAACTGAAACAAACCCACTATCATAATCCTTTCAAGACCATTCTTTTATCTTACAACAGTGAACATAACTTCTATGATTTGATGAAGTCAACAGTTACTGTAAATAGCCTAAAAAAGAATTGGTCATAAATACCAATTTACTCAATGTAACAAAGTTTGATATTTTAAAGGGATAATAACTCTTTGTATGAGATATATATTTCACAATAAAAGCATTGTGAATAACTCATAGAAATATAACATATTCTGTTTTACCACAAAAACGGCAGTTATAGCTATTTTTCTGATATCTGACCTTGTCTTTAGACCACGTGACCCCCATTGATGGCTATACTCTGTTAAAATCTCTTAAGAGATTTTAACAAAAAAACAAACTTTTAAGAAAAAAACCAGGGACTAACTTTGAATGTAAAAATGGATTCATTTACCATTGGTAGGTATGGGAAAATTGTTGTTTACTTCAGGAAAATTCATTTTTTGGCCGAAACGAAGAGTTATTATCCCTTTAAAATATCAGTTGTAAACGTTAACATACTGTTAGAGTTACTGTGAGGGGATCTACGTTGACAAGTGTCCGTTTGTCAAACGGGTCGTAGTCAATGTGTCGCATGATTTCTGGCTGGAGAATGTAACCACACCTTAAAAAAGAAGAGAAAACTTGGAGTATAACCACACCTTAAATGATACAAAGACTAGAAAAATTAAAAAAAAATACATCTCATAAATATAACTGAACTGTTGTGCATCATCACAAAGCAACCTGATAAACAGTCCTTTCACCTTTGTTGTTACATTATGATATTTTAGCATGTGGAAAACCTGTTAAGCCATTAATTTTTAATATTTGAATATATTTCAATATTTTAATAAACTTAAATATCCTGTTACAAACAATTACACCAATGAACAGGCCAATAAATACATTTAATATTTATAGATATCTACACTTTCTAACTCATATACACTTAATGACAACAGAGCTTCATTCCCAATGCCACATTCCTCAACCATTTTGTAACACCTATGTCTACTTCATGATTATTGCTAATACAGGGAAAAAAATGAAAAATAAATAAATAAATAAAAGATTGTTGTACTCACTTTCCATTTTGTTTGAATTTCCCCTCATTCAGCTGCATAGAACGATCTACAAGGGGATAAATGAAATTAGAAATAGGTAAAAACATACAATGTGTATCATCAACTGAAGTTTACAAGTTAAAGAACAA